ACTGATTCTTCCCCCCCCCTGCTGTTTTCTCACTCGGAAAAGCAACACCCAATCAGCTTTCGCTTGCTGGGGGAAACGACAAGCATCCTGAATTTTTGCCTACAAGAGACAAAAACAGCTTGGAGGGGTCCGGTTCCAGTTTCCCAGCTATTCTCCCAGAGATTACGTTGTTTTCCCTCAGACCCCTGAAACCAACAAACACAGTGAGAAATCATTTTATCTTATTTTACAGCACCCCTGGGACCTTTGGGAGATATGGACAGACTTAAAATGGGTGTTGTGGGACACCGGGATGCCACTTCTTTGTACATACCCAGAAGTGATGCCAGAGTGTCATGTGGCACTCTAGGAATTCTTCAGATCTCCATGGTTTTTACCACAGAGATGGTTTTTACCCTCCCCAGCACGTTCAGTAGGAAACTTCACGGTCAAAGACCTATCACAAAGGTAGCACCAGGATCCCAGCCACAGAAGAAGTCCAAGGTTTTTACTTACGTGGAGGACTCTATAGAGAAACAGGGGGAAAAAATAGCTTGCAAATTAAAATGAGAAAAAAACACCCCCACAATTATCTTTTCTGAGCAGGGGTGCAGAAAAAGAGGTGCAGGAGCTCATTAGCATAACTTATTAGCATAACTTATTTGCATATGCCACACCCCCTGGCGTCACCGGAAATGTGTCAGGAGGCAACACCCACCGCTCAGGCTCCATGGGACTGTTCTGGGGAGGGCAGGTGGGGGGGGGGGGGGAACGTGGAGATCTGTCCTCGCAGAGGAGGGAGAGCTTTTACCGGAAGGTGGCCCGGGGGGGGCGGGGGGGCTCTGCAACTTACCTGGCTGCTTCTTGCTCCTCGTGGCCCAACTGAGGGCTGCTGGGAGCAGGGGGCAGGGCTTGTTGCATGTTCCCGCCCCCTGGGCTCCTTACTGCCAGAGCTCCGCTTCTGTGCGCTCCCGCAGGAAATAACCCCTGTTTATGAGTACCGAGAATGCTTATCCCCCTCAGAATGTTAAGACTAGATAGATCTGAGTCCAGTAGCTCGTAAGAGACCAATAAGAGTTTCAGGGCATAAGTTTTCGAGAGTCAACACTCCCTTCATCAGACGCAAGTAGAAATGAGGATCTCTGAATCTTTATATCCCAGTCAGAAGGTGGGAAGGGTGCTGTAAAGAATGTTGTAAAGGGTGCAGAGGTACCGTCCATATTGTGATCAGCTTGATTAAAGCAGAGGGGAAATGCCTGGGGGCAGAAAATTAGCATCTGTAGTTAAGTAGGGTTGTCAGGTCCCTCCGGGCAACCAGCAAGGGGTGGGATGGGGACATTACCAGGAGAAAGAAGAAGGCCCAGGCCACGTGGCTGTCGTCACACAGGAAGTGACATCACCATGCTGTGATGTCACCGTGGTGCTCTGGCATTTGGACAAAAGCTCTATGGTAAAACTGCAGAGTTTTTGCCCAAATATCAGAATATCGCCTGGACGTCGCTGGCGTGATGACATCACTTCCTGTGTGACGACAGCCACGTGGCCTGGGCCTTCTTCTTTCTCCTGGTAAGTCTCCCATCCCCCGCCAGTTGCCAGGAGGTACCCGTCAATACTACTCACTGTAGATGCCGGCCATCCCTCCACCAGTCGAGCTGGCAACCTTAGTAGTGAGATAAGAATCCTCTGTCCCTATTCAGTGGCTAGTTGAAATTGGAGAAACTGGCTGGTCCGAGAGTTTCTAGTATCCTGGAGAGACGATTCATGTTCTGTTATAGGACTTCTCCATTGGTTATTTGCTCCTGTCTTAAAATACATTTCGCATCCCATTTCATTACATTTCATGGAAAGCGCATCCACTGTTGCTGCTGCATTTTATTTGACTTCTCATAAAGCGTCAATTAATCAGAAAGCGCTGTGCGAATAAAATTATTTGCAGTCGTTGCTTCTTCTTCTTCTTCTTTGTTGGAGAGGAATGCCAGTATTTTTTCTAGTTTATACAGCTGATTTCTGGCATCAGAGAGGAAGTTTCCCCCCATGCACGTTTATCGACCGAAGTGGATATATTTTCTGACAAAGACAGAATTCTGACTTCTCTGGTGACGGTGCGATCTTTTGGCCTGCGCAGACCTTATTCAGAGTTACACTGGGCAATTACATGGAGCACTTTCTTAAACACTGGGTACAAGTCTGGGGCATGAATAATTCCATTTATTACAAGCTAAAATATACATCGAATCCGGCGACCTTTGCAGCAAGAAATCAGTAATTTAATTTCAAATTAATTTACTGTGGATCAAAGAGGCATTTGGAAAGAGGCAGTTACTGGGGACTTGACAACCCGAGAACACTGATAAATTAAAAGGGGGGGGGGAGAGACTTAACCAAAGAGCTTTCTTTCTCTTCAGTGTTATTTTTTGTGGCAAAGGGAAACATTTTTTTCCTCCGCAATGTTCTCCGTTTCCTATCCGCCACCTCCTACAGTGTGGTAACTGTAAGATCAACGCAGGGGGCACGCACTGAGATGGGTTTGGGTGAATTTCCTTGTTTTTTTGAAACCCCGCTAGTACCGGCACTCCTGGAGTGCTCGCAAGGAAACACAAGGAGGAGGTGTGAGTCAAAGAGAACGGAGGGGGGAAATAATGACTGTTTTACAAAACAGCATTCTGCTTGTAATCGCTCTTTAACCAGGAGGAGAAGTCCTTCCTTCATGACCCTTCATGGCAAATCTTTGCAAACAGACAAAGCTGTACTAATGTGTTAGTAGCGGGGGAAGGGGGTTGGTTGGTTTAGGTGGCGTTGTGACTAGAGTTGCCAACCTCCAGGTGGCACCTGGAGATCTCCCGATATGACAATTGCTCTCCAGATGACCCAGATCAGTTTCCCTGAAGGAAATGTCTACTTTGGAGGGTGGACTCTATGGCATTGTACACACACCCCCGAGGCTCCATAACCTCAAATCTCCAGATGTTTCCCAAACCAGAACTGGCAACCCTAGATGTAGTCTCCCATCCCTAACCCATTGTCCCAAGCTAGCTTGGTGTAGTGGTTAGGAGCATGGACTCTAATCTGGGAGAACTGGGTTTGATCCCCCACTCCTCCACATGCAGCTGCTGGTGTGACCTTGGGTCAGCCACAAGTTCTTTCAGAGCTGTTCTCTCAAGGGCAGTCCACAAAGCAGCTCTCACAGCCCCATTCACAGGGTGCCTGTTGTGGGGAGGGGAAGGGGAAGGGAAAGGAGATTGTAAGCCACTCTGAAACTCCTTTGGGTAGTGAAGGGCGGGGTATAAATCCAATCTCTTCTCTTCTTCTTCTTTTTCTTCTACTTCATGAACCGTATTGTTATAGTGCAGCCCTCTTTCCTAGAGCTTCCAGGTCCGACGCAGGAAATATCTAAGGGCTTTGGGGGTGGAGCCAGGAGCCAGGATGTGACGTCACTTTTGTGAGGTCGCTAGGGTTGTCTAACAAGTTGGAAAAGAGTTCTGGCCTTCACATTTAAGCATTCCTTTAAAAATCGTTCCTTTTCATTGCTTTCCCTCCATTGGAAACAATGGAGGATGGGGCCACCTTCTTTTGGGGCTCATAGAATTGGACCCCTTGGTCCAATCTTTTTGGGATTTGGGATATATTTTTTTTTCAGGAGTGGCTATGCTGAAAATTTGGTGCCTCTACCTCAAAAAACAGCCCCCCCAGAGCACGGGGCATTCCACAGATTGATACTCCATTATACTCTACGGGGACTGGTCTCCGTAGAGTATAATGGAGTGGCCAGCAGCCATTCCCCCCTTGCTTTCTGACAGCCCTGAAGCAGAGGAGGGGCTTCAAGCCAGGGGATCCCCTGTCCCCAACTGGGGATGGGCAACCCTACTCTTTCCTGTGCATTGAATAATTCAGCTCTGCATAGCTTGCGGGAAGCCAGGAGGGTGCAGGCTCTCTGAGGAGGATTGGATATGTTCCTGTCGCACACTGGCTCCCTCCTCTGGTTCAAAGAGTCTTATTTATTTGTTTGTTGGAACATTTATATCCCATGTTTCCTTGTGGTTGAAGGAATGCAAGAGGCTTTCTGAGAAAGACAATGAAGATGTAGATCTTGGGCCTTCCGCAGAGGATAGGTTGGGCTGACCAAGGGAAGGGATGGATATAAGGAGACGACCGATTTCCATGAGACAGAAAGAGGCTGGGAACCCCAGACTCAGCTAATGTCACCAACGTGCCCAGGGCTTTTTTTGTAGAAAAAGCCCAGCAGGAACTCATTAGAATAATAGGGCACACCCAACAGGCAGGAACTCATTAGAATAATAGGCCACACCCAACAGCAGAAACCAATTAGCATATTAGGCCACACCCGACAGCACAGCTCATTAGCATATTAGGCCACACCCCATGCCCACCTTGGCTTGCCCGGGTGCCCCGCAGCTGCAGGGAGCCTGGGCAAGCCGCCCCTTGAAGGGAAGGGAAGACAGCCTTCCCTTGGCTTGTCTGGGTGCCCCGCGACCAGGGGGGGGCACTGTCCAGTCCTTCCCTCTGTAGCCACGCATGCAGAGGTTTTGGCTGTAGTGGGTGTGGCCAACTCTGAAGCCAGCCGGAACTCCGTTCATGTGCGTTCCTGCCCCAAAATAGCCCTGAACATGCCTATGTCACTTCTGGATAATGCGGGCACTTCTGGTGGTATTGCTGTGGGGAGGGGGAGTTTCCTCCTACGGGCCAGCTGGTCAGCGGCAGGAAAGAACCCGCCCCAACTGGGGAATAGCGACCTCACTCAGGGACCAGAAAGATCTCATGTTTCAGCCCACCTACATCTGATGCTCCTAAAAAGGTGTCATCGGGTTAGAAGCCGTGGCGGCAGCAAAAAGTATCCTCGTTCCTTTCCCCTTTACTGCCCCAAAGTCCTGCATCCAATATTGGAAGTTGCTTTCCTTTTCTCGTTGGATGTGCTTCTTGGTGCATGGGAGTTCTGCTTATTGCAGTGAGCGTGTGACACGAGAAAAGGGGAATCAAACCCATCTAGGATTATCTCCTAGCAGGACAAGCCACCTGCGACGACAGGGCAGCTCTACAAAAGCCCAGCTGTCCGGAGCCAGGCCTCTGAGATCTGCGAAGAGTTAAGCGAGCTCAACACGGACAAACCATCGAAGGAGGACCCTCTGGGCTCACCCACTGGTCAAAAGGAGGTAACTGGTCCACAGCTCGTGCTACCTGCCTGCTTGCCAGTTGCATGCCATCCATAGCCTGAGTCCAGTAGTGCATGCGGTAGAAATTGAGGCGGGCTTGCATGACGGGGTACGGGGCAATCATGGGGGTCATGACTTGCATGCAATCATGTTTGGAAACCAATCTCTCCAATCCCTAAGGCAAGGCTGGTCACCTCCTGGTGGGATGTGAAGATTCCCCCAGAATGACCAGACTACAGAGACCAGTTCCCATGGAGAAAATTGCTGTAAATAGTATTTCGCTATATAATATATAATATAAATAATGGAATATTTAGCCATTGGGGGAAAGCACCTTCTGCAAAATAGCGTGTCTTCTTGCTCTCTCTGGATAATCCCTAAAACTGAGAAGAACTGAATTTATGGCATATAGATGACAATTGTGCAGGGACATATTCTTAGGTATCTGGAATCTGTGTATAGATGCTTATCTGGAGCCTTGCCACCATTGTGGTCATATTTTCTATTTCATTCTTGTTTGAAGTTTCAAATTATTTTTTAAAAAAATTAAAGATAAAGAACTGCTTGGCGAGCTTATCAAGACTAAAGGGGGGAAAACAGAAAACGGGATCTTTTTGTGTGGCTGGAATTCTACCGGGGAACTGGAACATTCCTCTGATGGATTGAATGCCATCTTGACAGGAAGCGGCAGCGACAGCAAACTCCGTATCTTTCCCCACCTCTAAATGAATCTGTCCCGGAAGACAAATGCCATCTTCGCAGAACACAACACAATTGGATTCTATTTGTGACAGTTCAGGAGGGGATGAGAGAACATGGCACCTTTCCATGGCAAAAGTGGAAAGTGAGGCGGAAGTTCACACGAGGTGACAGATGCCATCATGGAAGAGTAATGCCCAGGATGCTATTTTTGAAGACAAATCTGTTCCGGGCAGTGAGCAGCGCCGATCCTGGCTCTTTGGGTGAGCAACTTCTGGAAGGCGTCATGATGCAGGGAAGGACAAGACAGCGGATGATCTCACCGACCCTGGGTGTTATGTATTGAAATCGCTTGTGTGAATCACCTCATTGACTCCCCATGCAAAGCTTGAGCCAGACGAAGGCTCCTCCGAGCCCCTCTCTCATTGGTCGCCCTCTAACAGCGACCAATCCGGAACTGCACAAGCTCCAGCGAGGGAAAGTCTCTCATTGGTCTTTAACTACTCAATCTTATTGGTTGTTATATGTAAATAGGCGTGGCTATATTAGCCCGGTAATGTTTAAAAGGAGCCCAGCTCCCAATGTTAAGTCGTTCTGGTTTTGAATGCGTTTGAGTGTTTGTTCGCTACTTCAAATAAAGCTGAATCACTGACCTGAAATAATTCTCCGATCCTTTGTTAGCGCGATCTAACACTGGGCATACCATTCTTGACAGAGCCATCCAGTCTGTTGAGGAAGGGTTCAAGACAGTTAATTCATCCAACAGAGTTCAAAAGATGAATTAGACAGGAGTGGCTAATTATGCAAAATCTGCACATTCTCATTTTGCCCCCAACTTTTGGATTGTTTAAATGTTAGGGATGGGGAAGGGTATCTAATCCAGCAATGGGTGATGTCTTCACTGAGCCCTGTGTATCCCATAACAGAAGGCCTCTAATCCCGTAAGTGAAAAGTCAAACACTCTCCCTTTTGGTATAGTGGTTAAGTGCATGGACTCTAATCTGGGAGAAGCGGGTTTGATTCCCCACGCCTCCACATGCACCTGCTGGATGACCTTGGGCAAGCCATAGTTCTGGCACAGCTGTCCTTGAAAAAGAGCAGTTTCTGTCAGAGCTCTCTCAGCCCCACCTACCTTACTGGGTTTTTGTTGTGGGGAGGGGAAGGGAAAGGAGTTTGTAAGCCGCTCTGAGACTCCTTTGGGTAGTGAAGGGCAGGGTATGAATCCAATCTCTTCTTGTTTCTTCTTCTTCTTTTGATTGGAAACTTTGGATTTGGAAGAGAGGTTTAGTGCAGCCTCCTTTGCCTCACTCTTCAGTGGCCCCCCAAGACAGCCAAAGCACAGTATGTTTACTTTCTCCTTGTCAACTCAGAGATCTTCTGAATATGACAATGGGACTTCTTAGTGTCCTGTGGTTAAAGTTCTCCACACCTTTCACTGGCCCAATCTGCATCTAGCATTTGCTCCGCTGTTTTACCAAACCCAGGCAGGAACAGGAATTCCTATCTACATTGCATGCCACTTTCACTTTGATTGATTGTCGGATTTTATGGCAGTGTACAGACTGCATGCTGCTTTCACTTCCTTTGATCTCTCGGTTTTATGGTGCATAAATTTATGGCCATGTTATGGCCATTCAGGGGTGACAGTCAGTACGGTGTTGGCCCGGGGTATTTGCATGTGGTTTTTGAGCTGCAGCTTTTTCTGTTCCAGTGTGGGTTTGGTAAAACAACGGAGCAAATGCTAGACGCAGTTTACCAATCACATGCAATTATTATTCCACATTTACTTCATCCCATTAATGCTACGGATGGGTCTGCAGTGAATTTTGGAAGCCGGGTCCACTCTAGAGTTTTGCTGGTGCAGAATGGTTTCGCTTCACGCTCAGCCCAAACTCAGCAGAGTAGAATTTATGCCCCAAATTCGTGAATTATTAGAATTTCTTAATTTCCTTTCATACCTGTATGAATCTAAGGATATCTGGCTGTCCTCAACTGGGGCTAGGGCCGTTTCAGCCCTGTCCCCAACCGGGTAGAACTCTCTGCCAAATATCGTAGGGTCCCGTGGGACCTCATGCACTTCCGCAGGGCCTGCAAGGCAGAGATGTTCTGCCAGGCCTTTGGTTGAGGACAGCGATGGCTTTCATCTTGGCTGGCACCAGGGGTCATTTAATAGAAAAAGAGGTGCAGGACCTCATTAGCATAACTCATTAGCATAACATATTTGCATATGCCACACCCCCTGACATCACCGGAAGTGTGTCAGAAGGCAACACCCACTGCTCAGGCTCCACTGGACTGTTTTGGACCGGGGGGGGCGGGGGGGCTCTGCAGCTTACCTGGCTTCTTCTTGCTCTGACTGAGGGCTCCTGGGAGCAGGGGGTGGGGCTTGTTGCATGTGCCCGCCCCCTGGGCTCTTTACTGCCGGAGCTCTGCTCCTGTGTGCTCCTGCAGGAAATGACCCCTGGCTGGCAGTGTGGCCCCCTCTCATTTCCCATGCTCGTTTCGACCTCTTTCCCCCCACCCCGACCGCAAAGCGGCTGGCAGTCTGTAATATGGGAACAATTAATTAATAAGTGTTAGTATTTGCTATCTTTTAAAAAATATATATTCTAATATGATTTATTGTTTTTATCTGGTCAGCGTTTTTAATGTTGTTGTACGTCGCCCAGAGCCTTGCAGTAGCAGGGATAGGGCGAGTCATAAATTAAATAAATAAATAAATCTTATCCATGACATATAATCACTTAATTTTGTTTTACAGATTACAATTTTTTTAAAAAAAGCAACTATGTTGCATCATCCTCTGAAAGCATTAACATTCCAGTTACATTTTGTGATCAGTGATCCCTCTAAGCTAAGTTAGTGTGAGCCAGCTCACAGTTTTTTAGCCTCCGGCTCACACATTTTTGTCTTAGCTCAGGAAGAATGGCTGCAGAGCAAACTAATTTATGCAGCGGCCAAATCGCTCGCTCACAGCTTTCATGCGAGGTGCTCACAAGGTAGAACTTTTGCTCACACTATTTCACAGCTCAGAGGGAGCATTGTTTGCGATGATCCATCAGTGCATTCCCAAGCAGAGTTTCACCATTCTAAACCGATTGGCTTCAACAGATTTGGAAGGGTTGTAACTGCATTTGGGATTGCACTGCAAATAACCCCTAAAGTGGTTTTCCCAGCTCAGGCTCCACTGGACTGTTTTGGACCGGGGGGGGCGGGGGGGCTCTGCAGCTTACCTGGCTTCTTCTTGCTCTGACTGAGGGCTCCTGGGAGCAGGGGGTGGGGCTTGTTGCATGTGCCCGCCCCCTGGGCTCTTTACTGCCGGAGCTCTGCTCCTGTGTGCTCCTGCAGGAAATGACCCCTGGCTGGCAGTGTGGCCCCCTCTCATTTCCCATGCTCGTTTCGACCTCTTTCCCCCCACCCCGACCGCAAAGCGGCTGGCAGTCTTTAATATGGGAACAATTAATTAATAAGTGTTAGTATTTGCTATCTTTTAAAAAATATATATTCTAATATGATTTATTGTTTTTATCTGGTCAGCGTTTTTAATGTTGTTGTACGTCGCCCAGAGCCTTGCAGTAGCAGGGATAGGGCGAGTCATAAATTAAATAAATAAATAAATCTTATCCATGACATATAATCACTTAATTTTGTTTTACAGATTACAATTTTTTTAAAAAAAGCAACTATGTTGCATCATCCTCTGAAAGCATTAACATTCCAGTTACATTTTGTGATCAGTGATCCCTCTAAGCTAAGTTAGTGTGAGCCAGCTCACAGTTTTTTAGCCTCCGGCTCACACATTTTTGTCTTAGCTCAGGAAGAATGGCTGCAGAGCAAACTAATTTATGCAGCGGCCAAATCGCTCGCTCACAGCTTTCATGCGAGGTGCTCACAAGGTAGAACTTTTGCTCACACTATTTCACAGCTCAGAGGGAGCATTGTTTGCGATGATCCATCAGTGCATTCCCAAGCAGAGTTTCACCATTCTAAACCGATTGGCTTCAACAGATTTGGAAGGGTTGTAACTGCATTTGGGATTGCACTGCAAATAACCCCTAAAGTGGTTTTCCCAAACTTGTGGCCTGCAGATCCACTCTTTTTTTTTTTTTAAAAAGGCTGTATGTCACTCTTACCTCTGAAACATTTTACCAGTAAATGATGTAGAAAGAAGAATTCCCCTCAAGAGGAGTCCCCCTGCTGTGCTTCTGCATGAATCACTGATCTCAGCATGAGGCCTACAGTAAGCATAACCAGCACTTACGGAAAGCTGTGCCGGGAAGCCAGGAGGAGTCATTCTGCTG